GGCCCCGGCTGCTCTACCCACCTCTGCCCACAGACCTGGCAGGCGAAGGGCTTCTCGTTGGTGTGCGTCAGCATGTGCCTGCGCAGGTCCTTCTTGTTCTTGGAGGCAAAGCTGCAGTGCGAGCACTTGTGGGGCCGCAGGCTGGCGTGCTGGGCCATGTGACTCTGGGGACGGGGACAGCGCCATCAGCAGCGGCCAGCACCCGACGCCCACCCAGCCCTGGGCGCCCAGCCCACCTACCCGGACCTCCAGCCACACGGCGGCCGTGAAGGGGCAGTCGGGACACTTGAAGGTGCTGGGTCCCACATGGGCCCTCTTGTGACTCTCCATCTCCGCTCTCCCGGTGAACATGGCTGTGCAAATCTTGCAGGAGAATTTCTTGGTCGTGGAAATCTTGCACGACAGCTTCTTGGCTGTGGAAATCTTGCACGACAGCTTCTTGGCCCCCCCCTGCAGCGGGGCCCACTTGCCCTTTGGGGACGGGCTCTCCGGCTCGTCGGGGGCAGGTGAGAAGGCAGAGCTCCTCCGGAGCTGCCTGGCCAGGCACTGCAGCACGGCGGAGCCCGGGGCCTCCTGGCCCGGCCCTGGGGAGACGGCAGAGCCCCAGCTGAGCTGCTGGGAGAGAAGAGCCTGAGGATCACGTTGCCTGAAGCCCCCGCCAGGCCCGGGACCAGGCCTCTTACCTCCACCCGATGCAGCTGGCTCCCGGGGAAGCTGGCTGACACGATGTAGTGAGCGCTGTGCTCCTTCAGCGCGTCCGTCACCACGGCCTCGCTCACCACCACCGTGTGGGTGGCCTCTGCGGGGCGCTCCTCCTCGCTGGGGCAAGCGCACGGTCCGGGGGGCCCCATCCCCACGGGGCTCTGCCGGGGCGGGGGGATGGGCCGTCTCGCACTCGGAACTGGAGCAGACCGAGGACCAGGGCAGGGGCAGCTGCTTTGACACCTCCCAGCAGAGCTGGCACGGACGTGTACCAACGCTCCCCTTGGGACCCACGGCGTGAGGCGCACCGAGACGGAGGGGTAACACACCCTCAGCCTGGTGGGGCGGGGCCCCGGGAGGGGGGCTCCGGGCTGGGGCAGGGGGTC